GACTACCTATTCTTCAGAACGTTTGGATGAGATCTATATCCGCGAGATTGTTCGCCTTCACGGGGTGCCAGTGTCCATTATTTCAGATTGGGGCACGCAGTTCACATCGCAATTTTGGAGAGCAGTGCCGCGAGAGTTAGGCACACGGGTTGAGTTGAGTACAGCATTTAGATATTGGAGGATATACTATGCGCTTGTGTCATGGATTTCAGGGGTTCTTGGGATCAGTTTCTACCGCTTGCAGAGTTTGCCTACAACAACAACTACCAATCGAGTATTCAAATCGCTCTGTATGAGGCCTTGTATGGGAGGCGGTGTCGGTCTCCGGATGGTTGGTTTGAGCAGGGTGAGGCTAGGCTATTGGGTACTGACTTGGTACAGGATGCTTTGGAAAAGGTCAAGCAAGTATATGAACTATTGTGCATGCGTCCACTGCTGGTATGTCAGATTTCGGGGGGGCGGATCCTGCCCAAGCGCTAATCATAATCATATAGCCCAATAGTGAGGCATGGTGCACGCGTCGCTCCAAACCAATAACACTTAGCCAAAAATGAGCCTGGCGTACGCGTCACCTCAATCAATACCAAATCGGCTCTATGGCCCAAACTCAGTCATTTACCGTTCAAGTCTCAAATGAACATATCTCACAATACTCAGTTTAACAATTTTACATATAGGAGTCATCAACAACATGTGAGGAATCAAATAAGAGGTACTGAGATGGGTATATTATACATGTATATAGCATCATGACTGAGAACATGTGTACAAATAAGGCAAATAGCTCAAAGACAGCAAGAATAGCCCTATCGAGTCTCAAACACATAGCACATATCCTAGACATGATTTGTAACATAAATCAGAACTCAAATAAACATACAGGTTTAGAAACACGGATATAACAAAGCATGATAGCTAACCAAACCCAAAATAGTCTAAAAGTCATCTCAAATCATGAACACACCGATGCACGTACACACGTCCATCACCTAGTGTGTACGTCACCCTAATACCTTTCATTTAATGTAGTTCCCAGGGTTATATACCCTCAAAACCTAGTTTAGATATGTTACTTACCTCAAAGCACGCGAATCAATACTCCAAACAGCCCTTGCCACACGAATCATCCTCCGAGCGACTCGAATCTAGCCAAAGTAACTCAATACCATCAATAATAGCTATAGAAAATAATTCCAAATAATAAAGCTAAAGTCTTGAATCAAACATACAAAGTCAATCTGGGCCCGCACCCCGGAACCCGACAAATCTACAAAAATCCAAACACCCATTCAATTACAAGTCCAACTAAACCAACTTCATCCAATTCTAACCACAAATCAACCTTCAAATCCTTAAATCTCACTCCCCAATAACATAGTCTATAATCCCCAAATTTCACCTCAAATTCATAAACTAGGTGAAATAATCAATGGGTAATCAATATCTATCATTAAAAGTGATCAAACTTTACTTATCTCCTTAATTGTAGCAAAAAGCCTCCCAAAATTTGACTCCAACCGAGCTCCAAAAATCCAAAATGAGAACAAAATGACCAAACTGTCGTTTATAAGCTCTGCCCAGCGATTCTCGCACCTGCGGCTAAGTTAGTCGCACCTGCGACTCCGCTCCTGCGATCTAAATTCTGCATCTGCGGAAACTCCGGCCTCCATCCATTCTTCGCTTCTGTGCTCCATTGCCCGCATCTGCGGGTTCGCAGATGCAGAATATGCCTTGCACCTGCACTTCTCCCAGCTCTAGCCAAACCCCGCTCCTGTGGACCCTCACTCGTAGAAGCGCATCCACTTCTGCGGAAACCCTTTCGTATCTGCGACCATCCCCCATCCAAGCCAAACTTGCATCTGCACACAAGGGGACGCACCTGCGGCCAAAGCCTCGCAGGTGCAATTGCACCAGCATCAGCAACATTAAGAAATTCTACTGAGTCCAAACATGATCCGCAACTCATTCGAATCACAACTGAGGCCCCCGGGACCCCATTAGAATATACCAACAAGTCCTAAAACACAATACAAACTTACACGAAGCCTCAAATCACATCAAACAACAGCAAAACCACGAATCACACATCAATTCAAGCCTAATAAACTAATGAACTTCCAACTTCTAAAATTAATGTCGAACCATATCAAATCAACTCCGAATGACTTTAAATTTTGCACACTAGTCCCAAAATGACACAAAGAACCTATTCTAACTTACGAAACCAAAATCTGAATCTGATATCGACAGAGTCAACTCTCGGTCAAACCTCTCAACTTTCAAACCTCCAAGTTTTCAATTTTTGCCAAAAAGCACCAAACTAACCTACGGATCTCCAAATCCAAATCCGGACATACGCCTAAGTCCAAAATCACCATACGAAGCTATCAGAATCATCAACATTTTATTCCAAAATCGTTTACATAAAATTTAAACTCTGATCAACTCTTCCAACTTAAGCTTCCAACCTTGGGACTAAGTGTCCTAATTCGCTCCGAAAGCATCCCGAAGCCAAATCCAACCACCCCGACAAGTCATAAAACTACAAATGAACATATAAGAGGCAATAAATAGAGGAACTGGACTAAAATACATAAAATGACCGGCCGGGACGTTACACACTTCATGCTGAACAAATCTCCAAAAGTACGATGTAAATTGAGTGGCCCACTATGAGATGATAGAAATAGGCAAATCGCGCAAGCTGACAATCTCTTTGATGTAGATTTGAGCCAATTTCTCTGAAGTGTAAGAAGCCATAACCAGAATGATATACGCAGACTTGGTCAATCTGTCCATAATGACCCAAACAACGTCAAATCTCCTTAAAGTCCATGGCAGTCTTGCCACAAAGTCCATGTAGTGTGCTCCCACTTCTAATCCGGTATATATAATCTCTGAAGCAAACCACCTGGTCTTTAATGCTCATACTTGATGTGCTGATAATTCAAACACCGCAAAATATGCTCAACAATGTCTTTCTTCATCCTCCACCACTAATAGTGCTACTTCAAGTTACGATACATCTTTGTAGCACCTGGGTGAATAGATTACCGCGAACTATGAGCCTGCTCAAGAATCAACTTGCTCAAACCATCCACATTAGAAACACAAATCTGACTTAAAAGTCGCAATACCCCATCATCACCAATAGCCACCTACTTAGCACCAACTGACAACACCATGTCCTTAAGGACAAGCAAATGGGGATCATCATACTGACGAGCCTTGATGCGGTCAAACAAGGACGATTGTGCAACAACAAAAGCAAGGACTCTACTAGACTCGAAAATATCCAATCTTACAAATCTATTGGCCGAAACCTGAACATCCATAGCCAAGGTCTCTCCACAGCTGGAATAAATACCAAACTCCTCGTACTCTCTACCTTTCTACCCAAGGCATCCGCTACCATATTAGCCTTTTCCGGTGATACAAGATAGTGATATCATAATCCTTTAACAACTCTAACTATGTCCGTTGTCTCAAATTCAAATCCTTTTTCTTGAACAAATGCTGAAGTTTTCGATGATTACTGTAGACCTCAATACTCTATACAAGTAGTGCCTCAAAATCTTGAGCGCATGCACAATAGCTACCAAATCAAAATCATGTACCAAAGTTCTTCTCATGGGTTTTCAACTAGCGCGAAGGCAATCACCCTACAGTCTCGCATCAACACACAATAAAAGCCAACACGCGAAGTGTCACAATATACAATATACAATATACATCACCGATCTTGAGGTTATTACCAAAATCGAAATTGTAGTGAAAGCAGTCTTGAGTTTCTGAAAGCTCTCCTTATACTCGTCAAACCATCTGAACGGAGCGCCCTTCTGAGTCAACTTGGTCAATGGAGCTGCAATAGATGAGAACCCCTCCAAAAAGCGACAATAGTAACTAACCAAAACCAAGAAGCTCCTGATCTCTGTAGGAGTAGAAGGTCTGGACCAACTCTGAACTGCCTCAATCTTCTTCGAATGAAAATAGCTTATTAAAAATTATCATAGAAAAATAGATAAGTTTGAGATTAGTAAAAGATAAAATATGAATGAGCTAGTAATGGATCTTGTATTAGCATCCATCCCATTGGCTTCCATCAATTATCTGACTTCCATTTTTATTTTGTTTGATAGCCACAGAATTGTGGTATAAAGATAGCAAACACACAAAGCACAATATATGCCTATATGGAGGTGTACGAAAATGAGAGCACAGTCGTGCTGATAACATGTTAAGAAATTAAGCCCAAAGTAATAATATGAAACTAGAAAATAGACAAGAGAGGAAGAGAGACAACATTCTTATTTCTCCAGTGTTGTTCAAGTGTGTCAACATGATTCTCAATACCTCTAGTTATAGGGTTACAGAGGAACACCAAAAGGTGTAATGAACATGGTATTAATCATTGAGATCATGGACGAAGATAATGGGGTAGGTTATGGAGATGTGAGAGTTACAATCATAATTGTGAGTAGTGGGAGGTTAATTATATGGTGAAGAAGAGTAGTGAAAGTAACTTCTTTATAAGTTATAGACTCCACTACCATATTAGAATAAATTTATAACAATTTAATAATATTTTAACATATATACAAGGAGTGAGACGAAGCACTGATTTTGAATGAACCTATACCTTACATTTTACATCTGCCCCGGCCTTTCGAATGAACCTACACCTTACATTCTAACTTCAAGCTTACTCAAGAAAGTGCCGTGCCTAAAAACACTTATAAAATCTTTTCTGTACATTGGACTCAGACAAGGATCGAACTAAGACTAACATTAGCTAATTAGGCACCGAAATTTGAGTCCTAAAATTGGACAACACATCTTGTACCTGAATGTTAAAACTTGCCCTAGCCTATAAAACTGTTGAAGACATCTGTTATCGAATATTTTGACTTTTTACATTCAAAGTCAACTTACAATAACCTTCACGTCCTAACTGGAAAGTCTCCCCCTAAAAGATGCATTCCTATTGGACACCGTGGAAGAAATTGCGTGGCGCCAATCTAGTGCAACTACCCTTCAATACCCACGCGCGCTTTATCACACACCGCCGTCGTTCAAAGTAGCGCGTACATTACACGCTCACCAACGTATAGATTCTGAGCTACACCAAAACTCACATATAGCATTTCAAAAGTCTTCTCTCCCTCTGAAAATAAGAACAAATCTGAAATCTGAAAATCTCATCTCAGATTCCATTAGCAGAAACAAAATATGGACTTGACTGAATTTGTGGTGTTACTGTTGTTGACGACTGCGGCGGTGCTGGCGGTGGCGCCGACTGCCGAGGCGATATGGATGGAAGTGCCGAGCTCGGGGACTAAGTGTGTATCTGAGGAAATCCATTCAAACGTCGTCGTTTTGGCTGATTACAATGTAATCGGCGACGAAGAGCACGCGCAAGCTAATGTTGTCCCCACAATCTCCGTCAAGGTAAAGCACCGCAGAATTNGTCCCCACAATCTCCGTCAAGGTAAAGCACCGCAAAATTAATCATCAGTGCTCTAATTTTAACTGATTTATGCTAAGAAGATTTTGACGTAGAGATATTTCTGATACTATGATGTATATAGTAGCTGTAGGATGTAATTTGGATCCAATTGAGCAACTTTAAGTGTGCTAGTTGGATTTATAATCTCTTAATTTGAGTTTCCTGCAGCTACTTATTAAACTAGGATAGAAAATGCTAGTATCACATATTGAGCTTTGATTGCAAAAGACTAAGCACATGTTGGACTTTCAAATCTCGTAATTTTGATCTTCCATGTCAACTTGATACAGTTAATCTAAGATTATAGAAGAAATAAATGTTGTTAAATTTCACATTGGGAGCTATTTTTCTGTTCAAGCTATAGAAACATCAATGATGTCTTCATTTCTAAAACACTAGCTATTTCCGAACATATCCAATATTTTGTTTTTTTTGGTGAAATTTTTTTTTCATTAAATTTCGATTGAATTAACTCAAGTTAGAGAATGAGACTTGAATTATTGAAACCGGTCTCATGAATTATGTCTAATAGGGTAAATGTATCTTTAAAAGTTTAAATTTTTGCTGTTACATAATAAAATTCCATACTAAGAAGTCAAGAAGAGTTTGATCGCAAAAATGTCAATATGTATCACATAAATTGGAATAGAAGAATAGATATTAAACCACATCAATAAAGTAATGAAATTAGCGAGGTCTCAACTTCTAAGATAGACACTAACAAAGTAAGTTTATCCTTCGATTCTCCAATGCTTTGTTTAGTATTTATTATTGGCGAGAGCTTGTTGTGTTGTTAAACTATAGAGCATTGTATTGTGTCATTTTAGAGCATGGTCTTACGCATTCTATAGATCCTTATGGGTGGAAGGCACTTGGTTCTCTCATGGTCTATGTTGTTCAGATCCTTCAAAAATGCCGCCCTGGTGTGTGTTGGATCCTCCTGCATTTTTTGAGGATCCGACCAAAATAGCTCATGGTTGGGTGAAATCGTATACTAAGTTGTACTATTTCCTCAACTACGTATTATAGTGAAGACGGAGTCAAGTTTATTCTAGAAAAAAAGATCATCAGTATTTTCGCTTAGTATGTTCGCTTACTCCGATTACCCTCTCTAAAGACAAGGTTGCAAGTTGGTTTCCTTGGGGAAGATCATGCTTGTATGTTTTGAAATTCTGAAAATTTTCGATTACTTTTCTTGCATGATAGCTCTACTTTTAGCAGCCTCACCTATCCAACACCCTTCAGTCAAATAGTTTTGTACCTAGTGGCTAGTGCCTCTTTAAGCATAAATGCTTTCTCGTCAATCCTAAATCAAATTATCCGAGACATTTCATGGATTCAATAATAGAACTAAAGAAAGATTTTCCTTCAAAAGAAGATGTTATGAATTTGAGGAGCTAGTCAGAAAGAGAGGGATGGATTGCTTTGTGATTAACACTAGAGATCTATTACAAAATGAAAAATCACAGCTACTGTTTCATTGCTGAGCTACCTATGAGGTTTTGAAGCTATAAAGATGCGAAATAAAATAATCAAGTGGTCCAGTGCCTTAATTGATATTCTTTTGATGAACTTCATACTGTGACAAAAGATATTCACATGGTAATGGGCTTGTCAACCGATGGTGTGATAGATGGTTAGATATATTTAGTAGTGTTTAATGATGTCTGTATGACTTATATTCTTGTATCATAAAATGATCCTTGTATTAAAACTTTTTTTTATTTATCCATTTCTTATATGTCCAATTTATGTAAACTCTTTTTATTTTAATATTCCATAATTTCACACATTGCTCCAGTAGTAATAATTCTCTGTACAGTTTTCACATATTTCTGGAACTTAAAGTCATTTAGCTAGTCAAATGTAAATCTTAATGTGAACTTTTAACAGTCTATTCAAGCTACCAAACAGTCTTTTTAATAGCAGTTTCTTACACCACTACTCTATACAATAACCAGTGCCGACCCAAGGGTAAGGCTGGTAAAGCAGCTGCTTTGGGTCTCATAATTTTTGGGGGCCCAAATTTTTTTAATAGGTTATATATTAATTTATTTTTAGAAGAATATTTAGTGCTTTAAATGAGAAAGTACAAATTTTCATAGTAAAAAAGTAGGATTAAATTGTTAATCATAAATTGAGAAAAAATGTCTTTTGGGGAATCACTCTCTAGACCATAAATTGAGAAAGGATTCGATTATTAATTCATAACTCAAAAAAGGTTAAAACTTTAATACAGTCCCACAACGTGTATATCTCAAGAGAAATTAAATGGATTAGATAAAATTATTAATAACTTTGCATATGAAAAACTAGAAATACAGAATTTAAATGAAATTATATATGAATTTTTTCTTTTATATAAAAAAAAAAAAGGGCCTCTCATTGAATTTTTGCTTTAGGCCTCCATATTTATTGAGCCGCCCCAACGTGAAATTATTTTCTTTATTTCCATGTAGCCAAGAGTGTCACATACAATAGGATGGAGGGATTTTTCAAAAAAAAAAATTGGTGTCTGGATGGTGATTAATAGCTGATATGTAAATTTTTATGCATATAAATGAACTTCAATGCATTCTATTGACATACAAACATATATAATTGTAGTATAAATACCAAAAAGTTACATGTCCAACATGTTAAAAATTGACCAGCATGCATGTGTATAACTTTAAAATTGTGTATGCATGTGTCTAAGATATAATCCAATTAAATGCATAAAGAAACATGTCCATGCCATGCACATCATACCTAGCTGGTGTATGTGTTGTGTGAAGTTAGTGCTTAATACTCCTTCTATCCCATAATGATTATCTTGGTCTAATACTCTCTCCGTTTCAATTTAGATGATATAGTTTGACTTGGTACAAAGTTTAAGAAAAAAGAAGAAGACTTATAAAACATGTAGTCCTAAATCTTAAGAGGCAAAAGCTTTGTGGGGCCATAATATTTGTGTGGCTATAAAAGCTTCTCATTAAGGGTAAATTGGGTAAAATGAAAAATTTGAAGTTAAATTATTTTTAATTGTGTGTGTCATTCTTTTTGGAACGGACTAATAAGGAAAGTGTGCCATTTAAATTGAAACGGATGGAGTAGTTTTTCATTTGTCTACTATTTTATTGACATACAACAACAACAATAACAAACCCAGTATAATCCCACATAGTGGGGTTTGGGGAGGGTAGTGTGTACGCAGCCTTACCCCTACCTTGTGGAGATAGAGAGGTTATTTTCATTAGACCCTCGGCTTAGAGAAGCATAAGCACCACTACTATTTTATAGACATATTTCAATATTTTTAATTATTAACTATTGTGTCTTATAGTACCTTTTAAACAGTTTTAAATCTATATATTTTATTTCAAAAAACTTGAAAAGGTTTTGTCCAAATTTACACCTAAAATTAGGGGCTTTGACCATTGTACTTTGAACCTCATACATTAAATGGGATGGAGGTAGTATTATTTGTTATATGTTAATTAGAATTACTGCAGATTTTAGAACTCTACCTAAAAGGAAAATTTCCGCCTTCTCTTGGGATATTGACTAAGCGGAGCATGATATCAGACAAAATCGGACGTCTGGAGTCATATATGCAATGTTATCCTCTGATAAAAAGCCTCAAGATGCATCCACTGGTGAAAAGGTTTTGTTATTTCGAGAAGAAAATGATATAAGCTATAGCCTCTTGACAAATGTTTATCAAATGCATGCTTGAGGAATTGTGACATTGCACACAATGTGCCGAAGAGTGTCAAATGTGTATCAAGCAAGAAAAAGATTTTTGGACTTGGTCAGATTGTGTCAAACATGAATCTCGCAGTGACTATCATTTTATAGTATTCCTTCGTTGATAAAGGAAAATTAACCCGAAGACAACGGCCATGACGTTTGTCCTTGTTGGATCCTTGTCCTCATAAGCAGGATGAAAGCAGAATGGACTCTTTTGGCAACACCTAACTTCTCAGATTTTTATGTTCTCAGAGACACAGCATACAAAAGAATGAAGTTTTGAGATTTAATTAATCAGTGAAAAGGCGAGCGTCTGAAATCTGAGTAGCATACCAACTTTTGGACGAGTTGTTCTCTTTAGGTTCTTAGTCATCTGCTAGTACTTCGATTACAGTTGTAGAAACTTATTGACCATGCATCATATAAGCTTTTAGTCAAGAAAAATAGACTGGAGAGGATCAATCTGGAGTCCAATGACAAATAGAATTCAACACATTAGTTTTTTTTCTTTTCCTGTTTGATAGGTGATGAACACTGATTTTTAACCACTTAATTCATTGTAATTGGAATTCTGTAATTGGCTTCTCGTGTTTCATCGAGTTATTGGATTCTAGAGCTGTGAAAAGGAGGATCAAAGAGCCCCTAGCCTGAGCTAGTAATGAACATGATTTCCTTATTGTGCTAAGGTGATAGCTTTAAGACACACTTTGTCTTCTCAAAGATTATAAATTTACATTATATGGAATAATTTGTGTTGCATCTCTCATTAAGTGATACATTTTTTCTATGTACAGTATGTGTAGACAAATTATCTCATCTTCGTTGAGGTCAATCTAGGGATGAAATGTTTCATGCTAACATTATAGCTCAACACTGATATATTTGAATTTTTTTTAGAGCTATACTACTGATTAAATCATACATAAACAAGGGTCAGATCTCTTATCCAAAATCAAGGGAGGGAGAGGGAGGAGTGTGTGTNCGAATCATTATCTCGAGTGACGGAGTCAGATGAGCTACATAACTTCTTGAAATGGTTAATCCAAAATTCAGATTAGCCTTGAGATAAGTAATTTTGTTTTGCACTTATTTGCACTTATGGTGCAGTTTTCATGAGCTAGATCATTGCAACATTCTTTTTAGGTCACATCACCATTTGGAAACAATCTTTACCATAAAGAGAATGTCACTCATGGTCAATTTGCCTTCACAACCACTGAGGCTGGTAACTACTTGGCATGCTTCTGGATGGACAACCATGCCCCTGGGGCTAAAGGAGTGACTATTGGTGTTGACTGGAAGACAGGAATCAGTGCAAAGGATTGGGAGTCAGTTGCAAGGAAGGAAAAGATAGAAGTAAGTTAAGTATATAATTGCCATCCACACTAACTCCCTCCATCGTCAAACTGGAAGGGACTAGTTATTGTGTTGCTCCTCTTTTTTAACTACTCATGTTTTATTCTTTCATCATATGTTTTGCCCTTGTAGGGTATCGAACTTGAGTTGGTGAAACTTGAAGGGATAGTGCACGCCATTCAGGAAAATTTAGAGTACCTGAAGCATAGGTAACCAGCTTTCTCAAATGTGCTCCAGACCCCAGATTATATATGTTTGCGGTTTTCTTTCATTGCTGTTGGAAGTCCTTTAACTTTTTTCGTTGTATACCTTTCCCTCTTGCTTTATAATCCATTCATACGTGTATGTACGTACCAATGCTGGTTTCTGAAGCCTCAAGTCTTTCATTTCATAAACTTATGACTAATATTTCCAGCAGGAGTCTGCATATTAATAGTGATGAGAAGCAGGTTTCTCGTGCAGTATCCAAAAGAAAACAAAGGAAATCTATCGTGGAGAGACTTTAGGATAGTGGATAACTTATAATTATATACTCAACTTTGCAATTCTCTGATACTTTACTTAATTCAGAGAGCAACAAGTAATGGCTGACCGTTTCAAAAATGTCGAGGGTAACTGATGTAGTGAACATAGTTGCTGCTGACTTTGTAGGGAGCATAGTTGCTGCTGTCATAGTTTTGATTTATGAAGACTTAATAGGGAAGTGTATTATAAATCATCAGTTCTGAGACAAAATAAATTATGGTAAAGCTAATTTATTTATTTTTTATACTTTTTCAATAACCCTTGGTGCAACCTATGCTTCTATCCTTCTTTTGGCTACTACCTCATAAGTAACATGGTTTTTCCTTGTATATCGCGCAGGGAAGCAGAAATGAGGGAAGATAATGAGGAAACTAATGCTAGAGTGGCATGGTTAAGCATAATGTCCCTTGGTATATGCTTAGCAGTTGCAGCTCTGCAACTATGCTATCTGAAGTCCTACTTTCGCAAGAAAAAGCTCATTTAGATTTGACAAATTTTTCCATCACACGATAATGTAGCTTATAGAATAGATCAACCACAACTTTTCATCTTATCTGCCATAAGATCTAAAATTCTTTCTTCTCTTTATGTTCAGGGAACAAGTGCAATCCAAATGTACGTCATTCTTCTACTTTTAGTTGAGCTAATAAATATTATTAATTGAGACCGCACCAGGGAGTCCAGTTACAAATGAGTCTCTATTACAAAATTTAGGAAGTTAACCATATGTATTAAGGCATCTTAAATTGTTTTAAGTTACACCAATAAACAAGGTTCTCCCTATCCTTTATCCCCACAATGTTTGCCGGGATTCTAAACCAAATCTTGCGCAAAGTCATTTGTGTCTTCTTACCCACCCCCTAAGGTAAGCTTTTGGGAAATTTACCTAGCTTAGATCCAAGGATATCTGCCAAAGATTGTACATTTGCCACCTCATTTACAGGGTATAACATCCTTTTACTCATATTTAGGTGCTAACGTGCGGGTGAATTTTAAGTAAAGGAATCCATAGTTATTGGAACTTTTGGAAATATCTTCCCTTTATAACTCATGCTTCAGAGTTTTCAGTACGATTTAGATATACCAAATCAGCTCATCTATTTCCCCGAAATTGTCAGACAAACTATGGATCCTATCTAGTGCAATATTTGTTCTGCCAAATTGACTTTTACAGGGAAAAAGAGGAAGAAGAAGACAGTTCTGCATAGTATCACCCTTGCGGTATGAGCATAGACTCGCTTCAAAATTCTTGTTGGGAGCTCATTCAGTAAATGCGGCTGCAATCTTCTTGTGGACAGCCTCAACGCCAAGACGAGGAGATAATCTAGGAAGTACCTCCTGCGGAATATATGCAACAATGAGAATTAACATCACATCTTGTAACTTTCCATAAACATCGTTATATGAATGAAAGAATAACTGCATGAAACAAACCAAAGGTTCACAGGCAGCTTCAATTCTCTATGGAGACTTACAGTTCGTACAAGGCTTTTTACAACTGTCTTATTCAAGGTTTTCCATAGTCTTGTTTTCTTTTCCGTATTCCCTAGCCTTACTAGACACAACAAGCCTTGACCACTGGAACCAAATACGCAAAAGACAAATCACCGGTTTAATGAAATTCTAACATACCTTAACAATCAGAGGGGAAATATATGGCAAATAATGCATGATGCATCATCCAACAAATGTCTCAGGTTTTACAGCTTCATTATAACTACAATAATTATAACATAAGAAACAATCCCTTACCGTTATGATTCTATTAGTCTAACACAAGAAACCGTCATAGATTAGCCATGGCCCATGATAAGTAGTACCACAGTTATGAATATGGGGATAAAGCAAGATGGTTCCAGCAAGTAGATATAAGTTATTCCAATACTCAATGCTCATTTATATATGAAAATTAATCCATCAATTATGCCTCAATCCGAAACTATTTGGGGTTGGGTGCATGAATCCTCTATATCCATTCTACTCCCATTCATTCAATACTAAATAATTTGTCTTTTAATGCGAGTAAAGGTTTTTAATAAACGAGAAATTCTCTTTATCTTAGACTTATCTCTACGCCAACTTACAAGTCTCTAATCAGACTCCTAAAAGGCACTGGATTTCATGCAAGTGTAACAACAAAACTATGCATCAACCTCCACTAGTTGGGATTATCATATATTTGCCTTGATTCCAATAGAAATAGATCTCTTGAGACAACTATCATCCATATGATTTAAATTAATCTTATCCTCTGTTAGATCCTTTTGATCATCACAATGCTGCATCTATTGACAGGTGCATTTGGAAAAAACGTAACAATACTAAATAATCTCTAGCAACCTTATCATGTTTTTTTACGGGTAAAGAAAAACCACTAGTAGCCCCCCCNAACATCCACGCCATGATTTTTTTTTTAATTACATCGGAAAAGGGAAAGGGGATGCTACGGTATTGATGGGATTTGAACCCTCCATCTCAACTGTGGAAGGCGGGGAGCTCAACAAGTAAGCTAGCCCTCAAGATTACCTTACTTTTACAGTCATGAAAGCTCCGCAATCCCTACATTGGTGGCAAAATCATCCATCGAGCAATTAAAAATAATTGCATTAAAATCACACAAAAGTGATGGAAAGTGATGCACCAGATTTTGTTGGAATTGGATTCCAACATGTACTAAGCAATTGAACTTCCTTTCTAAGCTAATGAAATTTTAAAAAACAAAAGGGCAGCTCGGTGCACAAAGCATCTTACGTTCACGGAAAGTCCGGAAAAAGGTAACACCTCAAGGATGTGATGAAATAAATAACAAAATTAAAAGAATGATTGTTGATATACTTCTTTAAATGTTAGAATAGTTAAGTGCTTGCATCTTTGGAACTCTTTCTTTACATCCCATCATGCGTCGGATGGGCATTTGATCTTATCTCTCCGGTCCATATTTTGGTTTTTAGGGGGAGGGGGGAGTTATTTACTATATTTCACAGGAAGAGCAGTAAAGTCGTCATCACTTAATTTAAATGCACCATCAACTCATTTGCAGTCGTCTATCGGAAACAGCCTCTCTGCCTTTATAGGGTAGAGGTAAGGCTGCGTACACACTACCTTCCCCAAACCCCACGTATGGGATTAAGCTGGGTTTGTTGTTGTTATCAACTCATTTGCGGTATTCTTGTCCATCTCGTCCTCGCAAAAATTAATCACATCCAACTTTGGTTTTTCAAATGGAGTTGGGAAAATATTCCTCATCTACATTAATGTAAAACAGATAATATATTTTTTTATTGAACTGATGAGTAATATAATTAGAGAACATAACAGATTTAATAAAATTATGATGCGTATATAAGGTTTAATAAGACTGTGATTAGATAAAATTTTGTGAAGATATATAAGAATTGTATCTGAGAAGTATTATAAAAAATATACAAACTTTGAGAACATAGTTGCGATACACACAAAATATTACCTTTTGGAAGAAAAGTATCTTTGACAACTCATTTGAATTGGGATAATTTATAACCTTCTAACTAAGAATCCGAGAAACTCTTTCCTCAACCAGCAAAGCAAACTCATCATTTGTTTGCGCACATCATAAAACCTGTTCAAAATGTTAGTGGGAATTCATATAGCCTGATATATTTCTTCCCACGCAAAGCTTTTTTAGAAAAGTGAACGTGTCATCAAATGTCAATTTCTCTAATGGATAAGTTTCATATTCCCCTATTTAAACCAGCTCAAAATAACCAATTGATACAGGCTTTACAGTAAGACATGTAAATAAGAATGTGCTAAAGAAGTAAAGGATAGCAATCTTTATCACGTCCTGATCAACTATCGTTTGACCATCTCTGACCTTCAAAACACTTAATTATGGCTATAATATTAAGCTTGTCAATTCCAAAAAAAGCATCGATCAACCAAACTACTTCTACCCTTTGCATCGTAAAGTTTATGCGCCTTCCACGTACATTTTAATCTTGTAATGAGCGAAAACTTTTTGGTTCCAAACTGATCCTAAAACTGTTATATGGTAGCCACAGCTCATCATTCTAACGGTTTTAGGATCCGTCTTGGAATTGAAGAGTTTGCGCTCATTACAGGATTAAAATTTAAGGGAAAAGCACGTAAACGCTATGATGCCAAGGATAGACTAAGGTGGTTGATCGATGCTTTTCTAGAATGACAAGCTTAATCTTCGAGCCATAGTTGAGTGTTTTAGAGATCAAAGATGGACGTTTGACCAGGAAATGGTCAAGATTGTTGTTTTATACTTCATTAACACATTCTTGCTTTTCAGCCTTCCTGAACAGCCTATATCGATTGGTCATTGTTAAGCTGGTTGAATTCAGGGAGTATAAAACTTATCCATGGGGAAAATTAGCATTTGATAACACGTTCAGTTCTATGAAAAGTACTTTTGGGGGGNTCGATGAGTTTGCTTTGCTAGTTGAGGGAAGAGTGCAATTCTTAGTTGGGGGTTATAAATAATCCCAATTTCAATGAGTTGTCAAAGACACTTACTCCACAAGTCCAGCTCCACCACTTACAGCTCAAGTTCCAGCTCCACCACATATAGCTCCAGTTCCATCATCTAGTCCAATTCAACCTTCTACAGCTCCACCACTCTTGACTTATCATCATCGTCCGCGCCCAACATTAGGCCCAGCTGATTCACGTCCTGCACCCGACCTTGCTCCTACTGCGGACTTGTCTCCTACTAGTCCATTGATTGCACTTCAAAAGGTATACGGTCCACACTTAATCCTAATCTCCATTATGTCGACTTAGGTTATCATCGTCTGTCATCACCCCATTATGCGTTTGTATCATCTTTGTCCCTTGTTTCCATCCCTAAGTCTACAGGTTAAGCACTATCTTATCTAGGATGGCGACAAGCTATGATTGACAAGATTCTGCTTTACATACGAGTGGTACTTAGGAGCTTATTCCTCTTCCTTCAGGTAAATCTATTATTGGTTGTCATTGGATGTATGCAGTCAAAGTTGGTCCAGATGGCCAGGTTGATCGACTTAAGACTCATCTTGTTGCCAAAGGGTATACTCAGATATTTGGGCTTGATTACGGTGATACTTTATCTCCCGTATTTCTATCCATGGTTGTTGTTTGCCATTGGCCTCTCTATCAGTTCGACATTAAGAATGTTTTTCTTTATGATGACCTTGAGGATGAGGTTTATATGGAGCAACCACCTAGTTCTGGTTTTGTTGCTCAAGGGGAGTCTAGTGGCCTTGTATGTCGGTTGCTCCGGTCCCTCTATGGTCTAAAGCAGTCTCCTCCAGCCTAGTTTATTAGTTCAGCACAGTTATTCAGGAGTTTGGCATGAATCGTAGTGAAGCTGATCACTCTGTGTTTTATATCTCTGTATTTATCTGGTGGTTTATGTTGACGATATTGTTATTACCGACAATGATCAGGATGGTATTACTAAGTTGAAGAATCATCTCTTCCAGCACTTTCAGATTAAGGATCTGGGCAGATTAAAGTATTTTCTGGGTATTAGGTCGCTCAGTCTAGCTTAGGTATTGTGATCTCACAACGGAAGTATACCTTGGACATTCTTAAAGAGAAAAGAATGACAGGTTGTAGACCTGTTGACACTCCTATGAATCCGAATTCTAAACTCTCGCTAGTATAAGGAAAGCCGCTTAGC